TTGCTTGGTTCTCACAAGGTAATCTTCTGTCCATAAATAGTAACAAATTTTATATACAAAAAGAAAAAAATATGAGCGGAAAAAATCTATAAAGGCAATATTTACAGTTTTTAGAGCGAAATGGCTGTTTAAAGTAAAAGGTGTAATTCTACGCGTACTTAAACAGGTGCACTGTACTCCCGTAAGTGGATAGTTTATTGTCCCGTATATACTCAAAAATTCTATAAAAACTAGGCGATTCTACTGAATTTTGTCAACCGGGTGTGAATGAACAGAAAGTACCCGTTAGTATTTTATACCCGTTTCCGTGGAAGAATTCGTCTTGATATTCTAAATCAGGGGTTCTCAACCGGTGGTACGCAAGAGAAAAATAGGTGGTACGCAAAGTATTTTTAACTATTAAATTCAAAACTCCAACATCCTGATTGAGTGTTTTCTCTAACACTCGTAAATTTATGCGACCTGAGCTTTGTTCAAGAGTGGTGGTGGTACTAAAGGTTTTCAATTTTTATTTAGATGGTACGCGTTAGTCAAAAGGTTGAGAGCCGCTGCTCTAAATTATATCAGTTAGCAAAATCATTGTGTTTTATCATGTACGAGATTGAATTAAATGATCAAATTCTAATGATTTGTCATGCGTGTTACGCTTGATATTTCAAGTAACAATTAGAAACAATAATTAGAGTAACTTATGAGTTAAATAATTTTTATAATACCTAAAAAATTTAATTTCGTTAAATAACAAAATCCGATTACCGTGTCAAAACATATAATTGAGAGCTTTGCCGTTCTTTCTTTCTCTTTTTTATTCCGAAAAACATGCCAAAAATAGAAATTTCTAGCTAAGTGAATAAATTAAGTAAGGTTAATAATTATCATGGAAAGATCTTACTTTTAAATCTTTGTATCTTAGTTAAATTTGTTCGGAAGATCTTTTAAATAAAAATTTAAACAACAACAAAAAAAGCATATTTAATCTTCCCAATTTAAGTTTAAATCATATCTTGTATAGATTAATAAAGCACAGAAAAATTTCAACTCAAAGCAACTTAAACTACATATTCGTTTCCATCATTTTAATCTCTAGATGGAATTCTCAGAACTGGAAGCAAGATAATGTTGGAGAATGAAATTGAGAAATGAAGAGAGATAATTTCCTAACATATGATATCATCAAAGGAACGTCTTTATCCCTTCCTAGTGAAAAAAGAATGATTTTCTTTTCACAGAGGCCTCCTGAGGGTCTTTGCAGCCTCAAGCTTGAAAGGTTTATGCACTTTGGTCTTTATCAGTTGCTGACTTTAACTGTAAATACCTCATTCGCTCCCAATAATCTTATTCGAGCAAACATAAAGCGAATGTCAATGACATCTTGATATCTGATTCTTTATATTCTGTGATGTTCTAACACTCTGTTGAAGGTATTATGTACCACGTACTGATAACAATCTACTGAGTATTCAGCCTCTTAACAAGTGCGAGAATTACATAGCCTTCGTAGTTTAATGATTGAAATACAGCAGAATTACCTGCAATTCGCTTCTCAGCAGCAATAAAATCCAACTCTAAACAAACATTTTCATTACATCATAATAATAAGGACCTAACCTAAATAGGAAAACCTTAGCTTTTTCATTTTACCTAAACCTAAATAGGAAAACCTTAGCTTTTTCATTTTACCTAAACCTAAATAGGAAAACCTTAGCTTTTTCATTTTACCTAAACCTAAATAGGAAACCTTTAGCTTTTTCATTTTACCTAAATAGGAAAACCTTAGCTTTTTCATTTTAAAAGTAATTAATAAATACATTTAACACATACTCTAAACATAAAGCCTTAAACGAAATAACCGATTCTGAATTTTAAGTACATACAACTGACAAATGTAAAAATTGGCATACAGTGCAAAACTTTCCTATTACAATATTAAAGAGTACTTTAAGTAAGAATAAAAGAGGATCTGCTTTAAATGCAAAATAAACCGTTTTTAATAGATAATATTTTTAAGCAAATGGTACTTACATTCTGAGGTTTTCACAGTTTTATGAAATGCAAAGTTTAGTACTTCAGGCTTACTTTCTACTGAGTTGGTGTAATATTATTGTGGTGTTTTTAATCAAGAAATTTGTCGATTGATATGTTTTAAAAGAAAAATTTGAAGGATATTTATTCGAAGAAATTATCAGTTCAATGATTTGGCTTGAAGACTATGTCTGAGACGTTGCATGAAATTTTTTTTAAATTTTAATCAAAAGCTAATAACACGCGTATGCATATGAATCAAGTACTTGAAACATTTATCGTACACTAAATTCTTTGAATTATGCCCGAATTAATACTTTTTAGAAAAGCTTCAAATGTTCTGAATAGTTATTAACACAACCGAATTCTAAAAATCTAGAAAACTTGCTTTTCTTTTATCTGTAGACCAAATACTTATTCACTACAGTGCAAAAGAGAGGAATTTTTTTTCCGAATGGTGTATTATATTTCAGCGATTATACTTTAAATATACTTTTATTTTCCTAAAAAAAACACAAAATATGCTTTTCCAGGCAAAATTAAACAATATCAATGTAATTATTTTGCTTCCCCCCGCAGCACTTTCAAAATAAAATAAAAAATTTAAATTAGTTTTTTTTTTAAACATAAGTCCTTAAACTAATACGATAATTGTTTTCATTTTCACTTCAGTAAAATTTAGGAAAAAATATTTGCGGTAAAACAAAACGAATAGGCTATTTTTATGAATTAAAATTGAAGAAGATGTTAATTTTTCTGCAGGCTTAGGTGTAGCAAATTATTTCCCCTCCTATTTCCCGAAAAGCTTAATAGATTAACGTACACTACGCAAAAAAAAGGGGGGGAATATCTCCCGTTCTACTGTGCCGAATGACGAAATTCAGCTTGCGTTTTTCATGTCTCGAAAGCGTGACTTTGGATTTTCACATTGCAAAACATTGCAAAAATTTTGCAAATTTCTTCAGCGTGAACGACGAGTAAAGGTACACTGCGAAAAAAAAGGGGGGACAGTTCTATATCTCCCGTTCTACTGGACCGATTGACAAAACTCAAATTGAGTTTTTCATGCCTCGAAAGCGCGACTTAGCATATACATTAGATTTATATATAGTATTGTTCTAATATAGGTATTTTGACACAAATTTGGACTTTTTCTGAAATGACATGCCACTCTTTCCATATTTCGATTCTACGACTCAAATTATGGTAAACTGTCAAGCTTTGTAAAAATCGCATGAGTAGTTTTTAAAAAATTAGCTCTCAGAATTTTAACACCTCAATGTTAATTCAGTTTGATATATTTATTAATATCTTTTTTTTTATTAAATTTACTTAATTCTTTATTCCAGAATTCGAAATTTAGGCTTAATCCAAATATAATTGGAACATTTTTTTACGATTTATTTTTAAAATTTGTATTTTTAAATATTTTTTCAAAAACATATTTTTTACTATAAACCTATAAAGTTTGTAACATCATCTTAAAGTAAATGTATTTCTAGGCACATCTTCAAAAAATTAAGAGTTTTTTATTCTAAACTTTCTAAGATATACATAAATTTACATATTGGCGTTTTGAAATTTGGCATATTTGTTATAAGCATTAATAATGCCAAATGCGGTTAACGCACTTTGTTAAAATTATTTGAAACTATTAACGATGACCTTTTTTTTTCGGCCCGTGTACAATGAAAAAAAAGGAAATGAAATTAGGTTACTAAAAATTAAGAAGTTCGGCAAGTGATTTATTCTTGCCGGCAAACTGAAAAACATGCGGCAAGATTAATTTCTCACCAAAAATTACAAAATTTAATATCTAAGCATAATTTGAGTCGTAGAATCAACATATAGAAAACAAACTGGCATGTAATTTTGCAGAGACATTACTTTTTTTTTTAAAGTAGGAGAAATGAAAAATGAGCAATGTCCTCGCGAGGACTCGAACCACGCACCTCTCGAATACGCGCCGAACGTGCTGACCATTACACTACGAAGGCATGCTAAGGATGCGGGAGAAATGCCTTATATACTCCCCTTTTTAAAGGAAGACTGGGATTAGGGAACCCAATCGCCAAATTCTGGAGGTGGAGAATTATCCTCCGCCACCTTTTAGTTCGGGAGCCACTGACATTAGGTTTTTCTAAAGCAGGAGAGATGAGAAATGAGCAGTGCTCTCGCCGGGACTCGAACCACGGACTTCTCGATTACGCTCCGTGCGTGCTGACCATTACACAATGAAGGCATGCTAAGAAGGTGGGAGATATACCTTATAATTTCAGAAAAAGTTCGATTTTGTGTCAAAATACTTATAGTAGAACAATGCTATATATACATCTTATATTTTTCTATAAGATCCTTTTTATATCTCGAAAGTTGCTCTTTCGAGACATAAAAATAGCAATTCGAATTTCGTCAATCGGCCCATTAAAATGGGGGATATAGAACTGTCCCCTCTTTTTTTTTTTTTTCGCACTCTTTATGTATTCTTTTTTTACATTATTTATATCACGAAGAAAATTAAAGACATTTAAATATATAAGCAACATGCTGCTAATTTTGTTGAAACGAAACGAAATTTAGAAAGAATAAGAGTTATCTGATGTTTTCCCCGGATTTCTGAATGTTTTTATTCATTCTTTTACTTCAACGAACTGAAAGATTTTCTGGGTGCTTCCCAGGAATATTAAAATTGCTTACGCTTGCACGCATTTTTAATACAATGAATAACACTATCCCTTGAAGATATGAAGCGGGATAAATTATTGCAATTTTCAGTTGTGCTAATTAATTCTAAAAATTTTACTCATCATCAAACAACTGATATGATGTTGAAGGTATTCTGAAGCATGCTAAAGAAACAATTGACTAACTTCAGTCTCACGATAATAATATAATACACAGAAAAATGCTGTGATTTCGCGTGGGCTTTTATGTAATAATTTTGCGCCTCTGTGTGAAAGAAAACACAACACTGGGCATACCACCAACTGTTTATTAACTAGCATTTTCTCTATTGCGCAATCTCAGTTCACTTTCATTAAGATATTTTTCAGGTTGTTTCAGGTTACTCCAGGTTTGTTTCAGGTTCAGTGCCACAACAGCCTCTATTGTTCTACAAAGAAATATAAATAAATTTAAAAAACTAAAAAAAATACAGTATATAAATTTTTTAGTTCATTTATGTTCATTCGCCCAAAACTGGACAAATTTTTACCTTACGTTACAAAAATATGCTCAACAATCTCTGACAAAAATAACAGAAAATAATGGAACTTCTTTTGAGAAGTAATAAACTAGTAGCTTTAGTTATGGGAAATTAAAAAAAAAGTTTTAAAAAGACCAGATTGTACAAGTGAAATCAGTCAGGTGGCAACACAACATAAAATATCATTTAGTTGAATACTGCACTCATTTTACTTGATTGCTACATTTACAATGCTTAAAAATTTAATGTTAACTTAATTATGCTCATGCTACACACTGCGAATTTCCACCAAAAACTTTATGTTGTATCTGTGGCTCCTCTTAGTTATTGCGATCTGATTGCGATAAAATGTCAAACTGTAGATTCTTATTTCTGTTTACATTAATAATACTAGAATTATAGTTTCATATTTTGAAATATTTACATAGATTTGATCGAACAGAAAGCAAAGTAAAATGTTTAACCTTTTCTGTATTTGATATAGATTGATGTAATTAAGAAGTCAAATAACCAGTCCTGTTTTGTTTTGTATAGAATATCATAACTGTACTCCTACAAACTTCATGAAAACTTCGTTTCGTAATATATGTAAGCAGAACGGTGTGAAGGAGGATGACTCATTTTATTTCCCTTGGATCGAAATATCCAAGTACATAATTTTGAAGAATAATAAGGCCTAGAAATACCATGACTATTATCTATAGTAAAGCTTACAAAAAATTGACTTTTCTGCTTTATTGAAAATAATTTAACACATATTAAAAAAGCGTAAGATAAAGGTATTTCTGAATATAATTGTCCTTAAACAAAAACAAAAAAAATATATTAAATGAAAAAAAGTGCAACAAATCTCGGTAAAAGTGGAGAATGAAACAAAGAGAAATTCAGAGGCAGTCTGCTCTGAAAACAAACAACGCTTACGTCTTACACATGGTATGTGCTAATCTGACACGTCACCTTCAATCTTTCGGTACACTTTTCCCTCTCGTACTGAAAGACAGAGGAGATTGAAATGTGGGCAATTGCTCAGTTTCCAGAAACAGGGGCTGAACATTTAGCACAGAGGAGGGGGCAGTACTAATATTTTGAGAGAGTGCCGAAACCTGCCGACACATGGTATATTCATCAGCTGCAGGTCCCCTGAGAGACACTACAGATTCCTTTGAGAAACAGCTGTTTGCGTTTATTTTTTAGGCGATGAATAGACTCCGTTAAGCCTGTAGCTTTTTTTTTTCTAAAAATCTATGAGAAATATTGATAAATAGCCATGATGATATTGTAATGTTTTACAGATATAACAGACAAGTTGTGAAATCGCAAGATGAGGGCAAATACTCTAAGTCACTGAGTAGTGGCGATACTTTTTTAATTTAATTCCTATGGTATAAGTTGGTCTCTACACTGTTTGGTATTCAATGCGTGTATGTTTGTTTTTTTGCTTGTAATAATTTAAATTTTAATTGTTATGGGAATGAACTTAAGCATAAACTGATCAGTCATACGCAAAGTTGCATATGTTTTGAAGCAAATGTATATTCCATTTATTCATAAAAATAATTATTAATTTAAGTTAAAAGAGTTTAGTATTTTTGTAGAAAATGAAAATTATTAACTTTAATTTAAGTTAAAACAGTTGAGTATTTTGTAGAAAGTTCTGAGATACATGATATTCATCCGGAAAAAATTTTTTAAGTAAACTGCGATTCTGGGTTTTTGGAACCCACATCTTTACGATTGAAGGCTAATAAATAATGGCAAACTATTTGACAATCAGGGTATCATTTATGCTATGCGTGATATAACGGCAGATTTGTTAATTATCGCTGTCTTTTGAGACTTAAATATGGGTAGAGATATTAATTTTTTTTGAAGCAAGAGATAAGAAACGTATGCACTGCCCTCGCTGGGACTCGAGCGTAGACCTCTCGAATACGCGCCGAGTGCGCTAACAGTTACACCACGAAGGCATGGAGAAAGGAAGTAGAAAATACTCCCCCTTTTAAAGAGCGACTGGAGATTAGGGGACCCAGTCGCCAAATCCTGATGGTGAAGAATCATCATCCACCGCCATTTTAGTTCGAGCGCCACTTTAAAGACATTAGGCTTTTTTTTTTGGAGCAAGAGATGTAAAAAATATGCAATGCTCTCGCCGGGACTCGAACCTGGACCTCTCAAATACGCGCCGAGTGTGCTAACGCTGTTACACCACGAAGGCATGCAGAAGAGAGGAAGAAAATACCTTATATAAAGTTTGTGATTTTCAATAAATGTAAAATATTAAAATTTGATATGAAAAACGAATGTTTATGTAACAATAATGACAAAAGTTTATTGTGTTCATATTATAGTCGATCAATTTGTGGAAATGCCCCAGAAGGAAACTGCAAATCTTCCCCGTCTTCCTTATGATTTCTACCGATTCTTCTAACAGAACAATCACCATCTGGTAACATAAGAAATCATTTGACATACTCATAATTGAGACACCCTGATCGGTTAGTGGTTAATGCACCTCGCTGCTATATCGTTCGTTGGGCTCTGGTTCAAATTCCGGAGAAGGCATGGATGTTTGTATAGTATATATGTAACAGGAAGCATTTAAAATACAATTCGCGCTGAAAGTCCTCTCGGGTGGTTTGGTTGCAGGAGAAGAAAGGTGGAAAGACTTCGGATCCGTCCCCTCGGGATTCTACTTCAAAACTGGGATGGAGTTGGACAAAGTCATTCTATCACCTAGGAGGTACTCAAGGCTCATGCAAAAGACCGACTCAGGTTTGGGCCCCTTTTCACGATAAATGTCGTGGAATGTTCTGATTAGGTCGGATAAATGAGATAAGCCACACGTCATAATCGATCTAAAATTTTGTAAGCTGCAGGTGAAAAACAGGTAAAATATGTCAAACCTTTCAGATTTGAATAAATAAGGAACTTAAAAAATATTAATGCCCCCCCTGGTATAACTCCTATTTATATTATGTAAACGAAAAAGGTACAAGACATCACACTCTGTACAGTTAGCTTGTTCGGTCGCCTGGAACGAAACAATGCCTTTATCAGCGATCTTCAAACACATATATTAGCCATGTAATTTGGCTAATCATTAATGAATACACAAATGTAACTTAGTTGCATTTGCTGGTTAATACAGGATAGCGAGCGAGTATTTCTTGAGTTAGATTCCTTCCCTTTAAACCAGAAAATTTTCAAAAAATGTTATAAATTTATCTGTGAGTGTAAATATTCAGTTTTAGAAAATTACACTAAAAGTAGAGTGACAAGAAGATTCAAAATGATAAGATGATTCAACTTGATTGATCCGATTTCAAGCAAGTATAGTTCTAGACCTATTAACCGCGAATTAATTTTATATACATTTACAGAAATTATTCTTTTCAAGCCATTAACAGCCTTAATTGAAAGTTGTTAATATGATATTGTAAAACTATGTTTAAAAACATAAGTTGACGTATAGAAAATAAATTTATATTTAAAAATGATTTTATAAGCAACGAGATTATAAGAAACAGTCTAAATGTCAGAAACAAACGATTCTTAAAACAGTTCCTCAACTTCAACTTCAACTTTTATACTCAGTTCTGTTTCAAATGGTTCCCGAGAAAATGGTTCCCATTTGTTTCCCGAGATTAATCATGATTTAAAAATTGCCCGGATATTTTTCTAAAGATGCTTTGAAAATCAGGGCATCATTCAGGTTCTTTTCTCAAAGAAATTACATGCCTTCTTAGGAAAATTACAATCTTGATACTGGCCTTAGAATGATTACACACTGTTTTTAAATTAGCCATGGAAAAACGAAAAGGATTACCATTATTCTTTCAATGTGTTTCAGCACAAAAAAGCTCATATCGGTTTCTTTCACTTTATTTTTCTTTTCACTGCAATCTCTATTTATTCATAGTCTCTTTCGTTTCATTTTATTCTTTCTGGAGATGTTGCTTGGCTAACAATGTTGAATATACTGGATTTTAATTTATCCCAATACCTTGTGTCTTGTCAACGCATTAAGGCTGAAAATACAAATAAGAAAGAAAAATAAGAAACAATGTAAAAAGTTATAATAAGTTTGACAAATGTTTTAATTTGTGAAAACAAATGCACTGTAAAATAAATCAGCAACAAATATAACAGAAGCCTAATACCATTAAAGTACCTATTCACTGAATGGAAAAGATGAACAACGTATAACTGTAATCACGGCTTACTTTTTTAAACTGTTCGAGAGTTTATAGCTTTCTATGCGAAATAAAGAACATAAAGAAAGAAAGAAAATAAAGAACCTGGTCAAAACTGTATTCAACAGATTTTAAAGAAAATCTAAATAAAATATATAATGCCATTTATTTAAAGAAGATAAGTAATTGCAAGAAGTTCCTCTAATTTCAAGGTTGCTGTTCGCAATTTTAATTTTAAAACTTTAATAAACTTTCTCTTATTATTAAAAAATTCATTATGTTCTTGTCATTATGTAAGCATAACATTCATTGCTAATGTTAACATTCCTTTAAATGCATTGAATTAAAAAACTAGTAACTGCATTTAAAGGTCATCTGCTGAAGTCCGGTGCAAATTAAGATTAACGACAAAACCTTCAATCATCAGCCTTAACTAAATCCTAACTTATCTCGAAATAATAGGATCATAATTTAGAGATTATATTGATAGAAAAGGTAAAAATATATTGATCTCTAAAATATAGTGAGTGAGAATTTAAATAATATATCTAAAGTATTATTGATCGTCAAAAGCATTCATGAGAATATGTGTAAACAATTCAGTCTTTAAATAAATTGTAATTTCTATAGGAAATTAATCTTTAAATTCCTGAACAAACAATATAAATTTTGCAAACATATGAGGTATAATTTTTGAAAAAAGTGATTTATGCTTTAGAATATGCATGCTTTATGGATGATGGAAGAAATCTATAAATATAAACTTTATGTATGGTGCCCCCTAGAGCCAATGTTTCAGTTTGTAAAACAGTCCTTACCCTTTAAGAAATTCATATGAAAAACCTCCTTGCCTTTACAGACAAAAATTAGCGGAAACAAGAGTAATTCAATACAATCCTCTCAAAAAATAAGCAACAAAGGTAAAACAGGGAATAAAACAAAAACCATTAAATGGGTTTGGCGTGAAATTTATCCAAGAGGTTCATTTGGTTTGGTTTATGTGAATACGGCAAAGCCTCAAGAACTTTCTGCGTAAGGGAAATGATGCCTTCGTGGAGGACTTTCTAAGGAAAACTGGCTCGTATACACGTTACACATGGGGAAAATAACAAAAACGTCCATGCAGCCAACCCGGTTGCGAGATTCGAACCGTGGACCCGAACTACCAGAGCTCAGCTACTTTACCACTCGGCCGCTGGTGGGCCGAACGGTAAAGCAGCTGAACTCTCTTACACTGAACTATCGCTGCTTGCGAACTGACATATAGGTCCAGCATGCCCCTTTTTAAGGCATTGTGGTGTGATTGCGGGATTGCGTTTCATGCTAATTTTGGTTGCATGTTTGCATTCCGCGATGCAATCTCTACTTCATATGTAAGTTGTCTGTTTTCATTCGCCTTTTAATATTTGTACCTTTTCTTTTAGCAATTGTTGCTTACTTTTGAGTACAAGTGTAGTTTTATGGGACCAGTTGCTAATTTAATAATCTCACCTTACCACATACGAAACTACAAACTGGCTACCTTTCTTCCATCGCTGCTCTCTTAAATCTAGTCGAAAAGTCCTAAAATTCGATTGAAAACAAGAATTGAAGATAATGAAAGTCATAAAATTCCTTCCGGGGCATTTTCATGAATTCTGCACGTAAACATATGAAATCTCTTGCATTTTATTTATTAGAATATAATGAATATTTTACTAAACGGAGTTCTTTCTCAACGGCTATCATATAAAAACTAAGTAATGCAATAATTTTTATAAAATTTGCTATTGGTTTTGAACGATATTTCTAGAATCAATGCTTAGAGAAATCAAGTCCGCAACAACAATTCTCACTACCGATGTAGTTATTGAAAGGTGTAGTGAAATTTCGGTGCTGTACATGAGAACAATTTTTTTATCCCAGATGGGCTATTAGTCTCGAAACGGGATTTGGCGGTGTATTACTTAAAATGTCTGGATCGCATTTCAAATTATTGGCGCGAAATATTATCGCCCTGTATTACTTTTAAAGAAATTAAATCATGAAGAATCTACATGAATGTATTTATGTTTCTCAGACTGTGAAAATATCTAGGGCCGGGACCTAGGGCCATGAAATTTTGAATAACGTAGTCCTCCATCCGAATATGTGCACCTGGAAGCCCGAACTTTGAATTTAGAATTTTATAGCTCATATTTTGTAAAACTTTAACAAATTTTTAACAAACTCAAAGATTTGAAGGCGAGCAGTGGCAACACTGTATGGACTAAAACATCATCGTTATCTCCAGCGCGTGAGACTGTATATCGGAAGTTTTAAAGATATGCTGTTTTTAAATATTTTGTGATTTTGCTATTCAGCTGAATTTTATGCGGCGTAAGTGCGAAGAACAGGATATTTAATTTATAAATTTAACACATATTTTTTTTTTTTGTCTTTTTAATAATAAAAAAAAAGTTTTGCAAGCCATCTTATTATGAAAACTGTACACTGATATGGTAAACTGAGAAAGACTGAAAAAAGTAGAAAATATATGTCAACATCTAATATTTCATCGGTAATTCTAAACATATGCTGCTTTTAAAAATTTTGTAATTTTGCAACTGAATTGTATATGGCGTAAATGCGATGAAAATGACGCTTTAATAAAGCTGAAAGGACAAATAGAAATGGGCTAGCAGGAGCGAGTGCAACAGCATACTGGTAGACTGCGAGCTCAGCGAGAGCATAGAAAAACCTTAACAAACCGTTCTAGACGACCATTAAAATCTGCTTTTTTTTTTTTTTTTTTTTTTTAATTTGCAATTTGCAAGCAATTTTCGATACTGTCTATATAACATTGAAATCTCATAATAAGTTAACAAATGAGTGTTACTTTCACAAATAACTGAAGAAAAAGGAGCATTATTATACAGATAATATGTGCTGTACAATATCAACTATAATAAAATCTTTCGAGGATTACCCGCCTAAAAGATTTGATACCATTTTTAATCCTTATAAGCAATAATACCAATCTGATTTAAGTTACGACAGCACAAAATTTAAATAACTCTTTAGCAACAGGATAACAAGTTGCGAACTTAGACTGCCAAGGGTATTTCTTCATACCAAAGACGAACAGCTTTACGAAACCGCACCCAGAGAACCGTTTTACTAAATCCGTCAACGATTTGTCAAGAGTAGTCCCCAATGGGCTGGGGGAAGCTAGGAAAATGCCAAGCAACGCTGGGGGAATAGTCCCCGTTTTGTGGAATATCATCTGTGCATCCTTTAGCACTGTCTCCGCGAAATGCCGCACCTGGTAGCGATGATTAGCGCTTAGCAGCTGCATGCGAAACGAGGAATGGCACGCATGTCCCATTAGTCTTAGTCCCCATGTTTCATAATATCTCTTCGGGTTATTTGGCTTTTAAACAGCTCTATTTGTCTCCCAACACTGTTAAGTCCCTCCTTCCTTTATTTTTATTGACTGCGCAAAGGTTTAGAAGGCAGCGCGTATTTTCTCTTACTTTCCAGTATCCCATTTGATGAATCCGAACAGCATCAACAGTGTTAGAGAAGATCTTGGAGACCTAGAAGTTTTTACACATCTTAGTGCATAGCCAGTCATAAATTTCACTTATCATAAAAGAAGCAACACCTTTATTTCCGTCCTTAGAAGCAACACCTTAGTCATCCCTCATAATTTATTTTTTAATGGGTTGTAGCTTATTGTTGCTGAAAAGGAATCTTGCAGTGCTAAACCTAATTTTCACAACTATTATCTTAAGATGTTTTTTAAAAAAAATAAAGAAGACAATTTCGTCCAAGACTTCATACTATTTCACAATTTTTAAACCTGTAAAATCTCGAGTATTATGCAATAATTTGAATCCAATAGGATGCTTTTTTTCTGCAAAGTTTTCATTATTTTTAAAAAAATAGGGCTTGCATGATTTAGGATATATTAAACACATATTTCTCCAAATTTTAAAGAGTATTTTCTTGTGAACGAAGCAAAAGGTAAAGCAATAACAGTTTCGTCACCACTGATTCATTCTGATAATGAGTTGTTTGAATAATTATTTAACGATTTCAGTCATGTGTAATGGAAAGTACAAATCCTCAGAAATCCTCTGAAAGTAATCTTTAGAAAATCCTACAGAAAGACCTTTCGTATACTAAACGAGACTCCAGCGCACTACTACATTCAGCTTCGCATACTAAAGGAGACTCCAGCGCACTACTACATTCATCTGGAACTAATCAGCCAAGATTTCTATCGGGCAATAATGCAATATTGCAACAATTTAAAAATATGTTATCTGATAAATGATGCCTGCCTCTAATTTTTCCGACAGCCGTCGGATGCAAACTTTTAACCACACAATGCAAAACTCAGCTCTCTAGTTCAGAATTTGAAGCCTGCAGCACGAATTATCACAGTATTAATTTTTTTTGCTGCAAATGCCTTTTCTTCTGCGATAAACGGAAAAGCATATATGCCACTTCATTAAAATTAGTGCTCGTATATACCGTACCGAAGCTCAAATGAATTGCACACATGCAGCTTAAAAGGAACGTCTAGTCTGAAACAGGTATTCTTGAGTATCTTAATATATCTGAACTCCCCCCCCAGGACAAAAATATTAAGATTATATATTTTCCTTTGAAAAATTATGTACTTTAAAATATACTTCTTGATACAACAAATTTACAGAAAAAAAGATTTGAATTTTCGGGGGGAGGGGGGGGGGGGAGTTTAATCTGTGTCAGGTGTTCTTGCTATAGCTCCTCTCATTCACCATTTTTAGTAAGTTTAATAGATCAAGAACTATATTATTTTTCAGAACTGAAGTTATAAGCTGTAA